TATATTCTGAATGAAAGTTTATTGTTAAAGATGAAAAAAAATTTTTTTTTTTAGTCTGTAGTTTGCCTTTTGGTTTTCTCAATGCATGGAACTACAGAAGTTACAGTTTTTAAATAAAGCCCAAAGTATCAATCTTTTCCTTTTATGATCATATACTTCTCGCATCTTACATAGCCAATCTCTATCTAATATTGCAGGTATTTTCTTCTGTGCTTTTACTTGGCAGGTTTGGAGTTTCTGTCTTTGTATTGAGGTCTAGCTCTATGCAATTGTTTTATATGGGACACATTTCATTTTTTTTATCATTAGAGTATTCAGTTGTGTCAGAACTGTTTGTTTAAAGAACTTTGAAATTTTATAGGTTCTTCACCTTTATTCTTCATTTTCAGAATAGACTTGGTGATTTTAGTTCTGTTTCATTTATTTATTAGTTTTAGAATAAATTTGAACTTCTGGTGGTAGGTTCTGCATAGAGGGTATAGGCACTTTGGAAAATACTGACATCTTAGAAATACTGAATATTCTGAGCTGGGCATGGTGACACACACCTGTAAGCTCAGCACTCAGAAGGCCAAGGCAGAAGGACAGTGAGTACAAAAGTTTGAGTCCAGGCTGGGATATACGGTAAGTTCCAGGCTAGCCTGGACTACATAATGAGACCTTGTCTCAAAATAGAAGCGAAGCTTTTGTAAATAAGCGGGGTGGGGGTGGGGGTTGGCAGGGGAATAAAGAGAAGGAAGGGAATTGGGAGAAAAAGAGGAATCAAGATATATTATATAGAGGCACAAACTCCCTTTGATAAATATGATCTTTATATATATTTAAATTGTACCAATAAAATTAATAACATAAAAATAACTTTAATTTGGATAATAAAATGGGAACAAAACTTTCTATTTTATGGTGAAATATTCTATGAGAGTACATCTTTGGGGGGCAAGTACATGTGCACCCAGGTTTTCAGCCCAAATTAAAGAGCTTTTAAAAAAAGCAACAACAAACTAGGAAGACAGGGAGGGAAGAAGGAAAGAAGAGTAGGAAGATTCAGTGTTCTGATTCATCATGATAGATTTTTTCCACCTCTTTAGTTTTTATTTAATTTTTCTTGGTGACATTTTGTAGTTTTCAGGACAGTATGATATATTTTGTGAAAGCTAACCCTTGGTCTTCTTCCTCCTCCTCCTCCTCCTTCTTTTTTTTTGTTGGTACCAGGGATCGAACTTGGGACCTTGTGCTTATGAGGCAGGTGGAAGCACCACTGAGCTAAATCACTGGCGCACCCTTGGTATTTCTTGATTTTTAGATACTATTTTAAATGATGACATATTTTTATTTCAGTTACCAATTGTTAGTTGTTGGTATATATTTTATATTTTTTATATTTTATATTTTATATATTTTATATTTTTCAACCTTGGTAAAGTCAAATATTTTGGAAGCTCTTTTGTAGATTCTCTTTACATAATGATTATATCTTCTGAAAATACGTCTAGGGATAAAATAATGCCACTTTAGGATAAAATATTCTGCTGGTCTTATGCTCAGATGAATCTTGTCACAACTCTTCTAAATGTCTAAAATACTTTTTTTTTTTTTTGCTGTCCTAGTAGTCTGTTTTTCAACACCAAGATTCAAGTTTTTCCCATCTCTTTAGCTCAGTATTCCAGAAAAGATATCAAGCATGTCCCCTTATCCACACTTTTACTTGCTGCAATTTTAGCTCACCACAGATCTAATTTACATAAACAATGAAATTACAGAAATGAACAGTTCACAGATTTTGAACTGTGCACCATTCTGGGTAGCACGACAAAATCTTACACCATGGAGGGGCACAATTCATTTCGTTGTCCAGTGTATACACACTGTATACTCTACCCCTTATTTTCCTTTGGTTACTGCAGTACTATCAGTAACTCTTGTATGATCTTGAACAGAAGGAGTGAGAGCAGATAGTCTTCTATACCTTGTTTTAATTTTAGGGGAAAACACTCAATATTCCACTATTAAGAATCTTTTTTTTTTTCCAGCTAGATACTTCTTAACAGATAGAAAATTCCTTTTAATTTCCAGTTTTCTGAAATTTTATCACAATTGAATTCTGTCAATGTTTTTAGTGCTCCTATTGAGTTACATAGCTTTCTCATATTTTTCTTTTAATATGTTAAGTTAATTTGATTTCTAAATGTAAAACCAATCATGCATGCTTGGCACATCTCTACCTTGTTACGATGTACTATTTTTCATATATTGCTGTATTCTGTCTGCTGATATTTTGTTAATAACTTTGCATCCATGTTCACGGTGATATTGTTCAATAGTTTTCTTTTCTTACAGTGTCTTTCTCTGATGAAAGTGTCAGAGAAACGCTGGTTTAATAAACCAAGTTAGGAAAATTTTTCTCTTCTATTTTTTTTTGGAAGAGTTTGTATAGAGGATTGGTATTTGTTCCTTAAATGTTTGGTAAACTTCACATTTAAAACTATCAGAGCCTGGAGTTTTCTTTGCATTATGGGCTGTAAAGAAAGTTTTTATTTTGTAATTTAAAAAAATTAAAAAGCTGCAAAGACAGTACAGAGAGTTTCTACTTACTTTTTGCCCACTTTCATCTAACATTAACATATTATACAACCATAATATATTTAGGAAAACTAAGAAGTTAACACTGGTCAAACACTATTCATTAAACTACAGACTATATAAATTTTACCAGTTTTTGCACCAATGCCTTTTACTATCCAAACCAGGATACCATAGTGCATTCAGCAATTTTAGTGTATTTTAATTAGAATTTAGCATACATTTTATGTTTTTTTTTCTCGTGTCAATTTTGGTAACTTATGTCTATTAGGAAATGTCCATTTCATCTAAATTGTCAAACTTATTTGCATAAACTTGTAATTTTCCCACATTATCATTTTGATAGGAATCTGTATTAATCTCTTCTATTCCATTTTTGAAATATACAATTTGTGTTAACACTCCTATTGTCATGATCAGTCTCTCCAGTGATTTATCACTTACTTGCATTCTTTATCAATTAGCCAACTTTTTAAAAAATGAATTTATTCTCAATATATCTAACATATAACTAGTAATGACTTCTAAGGATATGCAGGTCCTTGTTATAAACAAATTCATTAAAACTTGCTCAGGTATTTTTTCCAAGCCACTTGGAGAATCATATTCATGTTAATATTCAATAATTTTACAGTTTCTTGTTTCATCGGAGACAATTTCAATTTTCAAAACTTTGAAATCTCCTATTTGGAAGTCAAAATAATTTCTGTGGGCAATAGCCCTTCATCATTTTTCAAACCAAAATGAACACATATAGTATCAGTTTATAATGCTGGTTAATTCAGGTTTCAGAGGGGTGTTTTCAAGCCAAGGTGCTTTGAGCATGTGAGCATATAGACTTTGGCATTTGTACAATGTTCTTTTTATGCACCTCTGACAACTTTGTGAACATGCAGGGAACACTACAGACTGAAAAACCAGTCTCACGGGAGTAATGGCTAAAAGAAGCACAGGGAGTTTCTACTTCTTTTGGAGGGAAAAGGACAGTAGAAAGATGAGCCCATGTCACACTGGGCGGTTCCTGATCATGGATCCCAGTTTCCAGATTCTACTGTACTACAATAATGTAGCCCTCAACAGGAGTTATGTGCTTTGTGATATTTCCTCCAGATCCTTTTATTAGATATATTTCTGGGTCTTTAGTTTTCATATCTTTATAAACTGTGTTCTTAAAATAAGAAATGTCTAGAATATAGACTGTATTCCATAGACACTGGCCAAGTGGATGATTAAACATGAAGTCCACCATGTGGGCTTTTGTTTGAGAACAATTTGGTTTGAAAACAGAAGCATTTGGAAAAATTTTGTTTTTGTTTTCAAACTCTGCACTGGTTGACAAACATGACCTTGGCCACCTTTCCCATGTGAACATGAACATGCCATCTTTTCCAGAATTGTGGAACAAATTAAGTTTGTTAACTGATGAACATTGTATTTAGGTTAAAATGGGGCCAGGTGTCATCCAAGAGACAGAGTAGACAAAATGTTCTGGTTGGTTTTCCTGAAACATTCATGCTAAGGAGAGGTGGCAGTTCATTCTCCATACCTCCAACTCCATGCATTTTCCTCACCCAATCCTACCTTACCCTGACCCTAACAGCCAGAAATATCAGTGCTCTCTGTTCCAAGGAAGACGAGAATTTTAAGTTACAATAGAGAGTGGCCTCATGTACTTTTTCTACTCCTGGGAGCACTCCAGCTATATTCATCCATCTATATTCAACCCCTATATTCAATCATCTATTTTTATGTCCAATCAATATTTATTGAGCATCTATTAACCTGCCACATATACAATACTATGTGTGAACAAAACAGTCTAGGTGATGTTTTCAAAGAATTTTCATTCAGTGCATCTTCTCTCTGCACTCATCACTTATATTCTTCATTCTCAATGATTTATTCTTTGGCCCCCAGATACAAAAATCTCTTATCTTAAATCCTAGATTTAGCATATATAATTTGTACCATCTCTTTTGCTATCTCAATTTCTGAATCCTCTATTTTCTATTTTCATTCTAACCCGATCTGGTTAGACATTTCCAGACTTTCCCACTTCTCTCTAGTCTTTCATTATGGGGTCCTTAGTGTTTCCCTTTTCCTTGCATTCCAGTTGAAAGAATGCTTCTATGAACCTTCCTGGTTATTATGCTAACACTTGGGTCATCATGTATTTATTAAGTCAGGTATAGGGTGATTTCATGGCCACCATACAGCAAAACAACCTTGCCTGGGAAGGCAGGAGCAACGAAGACCTCACCCCTCCTGTGCTTTATGGCATTTTAAAAATCCACTTGTTTTGTGAAGAACTTGTGCTTGAGTGCCAGATTCTCTGCTGTTAGGCTGGAAGCAATGTGAAGATAAGAACCATGTCTACTTTTTAACCTGGGGTCAACTCCACAGTGGGGTAAGGTACTCACCTAACTAAGACTGGGATCTTGGGCATCTTCTTAGAGACTTTAAAGAAACTGGTGTCTCCTTTGTTGTCAGTGAAGTACACGCCTGCCACACTGGTCACCAGGTTCCCAGGGAATGTGAATAGAACCCTTTCATCATCACCTTGGTTGGCCCAGTCCCAGGCCTGGCCTCCCATGAGCAAGCCTCCTCCACGCTTCATAAACTGGACCAGCTTTTCAGTCATGGTTTCATTGTAGGCATCGATACAGTAAACCCCCAGGGAGTCATTTACTTCTGGCTCAATCTTCGCCTCTATTCCAACACCCTCGAAGACTTTGACCAAAGGTGCCAGGGATGGGTGTATACCAATGGGAGCCCCAGGAGAAGAACAAAGCCACCCTACAGCATTGACAAGAAAGGGAGAGAGCTGGGTTTCCACCAAGTAGTCTTCATGGGATAAGACCACCAGGCGGCCTCGACCGTAGGAGGAAGCAGCAATGAGGACCTGGCCCATGTCATTCACCATCACAGGAAATGAGGCCTCCCCAATAAGAAGCAGTTCACATGGGATGGCATCTTCAGGGAGATCCCAGCTTGTCACTCCATTCATAAGAGCCTCAAAGGCAGCAGAGGGAGTCGCCATGGCTCCAGTGGTTTCTGCAGAGAAGAAAGCAAAAACTTAGCTTGGCAAGGAGTAGACAAACAGACAAAAACAGAGTTTTCCCCTTTCCCACCAGATGAGGCAACTCACAATTCAGAAGACACTGACGCAAGAGATAACTAAAGCTCTCAGTATCCAGATCTACAGTCAAGGAGACCCATTTTGCCCTGTCCACTTGAACTCATAGGGTCAAACTCAGAGAATATGACACTTCTCCATCACAGGTGGACAAAAACAGAAGGGAGAAATGAAGGCATAACTGTGCCCACTAAAGAGATACTTTGAAGTTTTAACTTAGTATTTGTGACTTTACTTGGACATAGGATCTTTCAAATGCATTCAGGTTAAGATGAGGTCATATTGGATTTGGATGGGCCTGGACCAATGGTGGATGTCATGATAAGAAAAGGAAATCTGGGCACAAACAGATACAGATATACAGAGGAGGCAGAGATGGGAAAGGCAGAGATTGGAGTTATATCTCTACAAGCCAAGGAACACTAAGGATTTAGGCAAAAATCAGATGCTCAAATTAGAGAGGCACAGATAAGATTCCACCTCTGAACCTCCAGAAGAAACCAACATTGCTGAAACCCATATATTGAGCTTCTAAGCCTCCAGAAGTGTGAGTGAATAAATTTCTGTCATTTTAAACCACTTTTTGTATTCACTTGATATGGCAGCCTCAAAGAACAGATACAGTGGCACAACATTTTGCTCTTTTAGTACCCATTCTACCCTTTTGGGCCTCCACACTGATTTTATTAATCCCTGCTTGGAGAATTTAGAATTTCAGCCCAAAAAGTCTGGCTTCTTAGAGAAGTTTCTTTGGTCCAAGTCATAGCCTGAGTAAGAGGACAGATAAACCCTCTGTGCCTTGAATCTAGGTCCTGGACAACCAAGTGCAGATGGCAACAAGTCATGAAAACATGGCAGATTCTTGCTTGCACTGGAACACAGCCAAGGAGGATGTGACTCTTGGTGGCTGTGAACTCACAAGTGTCCTCTGCTTCACCACGAGCTCCCCTTAATGATGCTCCTCAGTCTGACCTACATGAACTTGACTGAAACAGATCTCCAAAAACAGGCATTTTCATAATCAAGACATTCACAGCTTCTTGTCCTGAGCACAAAGCAGCTCTGGATACAGCTGCTCTTCTCATCCTGAGAAAGCTCTTTACCTTCAAACTCTGGAACCACTTACTCTCTGCCCTTCTTTTGTTTCTCTTTGGCAGATGTAGACGTTTCCTAAGTTTTCATCTTTGGCCTTTACCTCTTCTCTATTTTTCCTTGAGTGACTCTGTGTATATCAGTCCATGACAGAAGGCAGAAGGGTAATAGGGCACATGTGAGTGAGAAAAAGGAAGGGGGAACCAAATCGTTCTTTTTATCAGGAACCCATTCTGGTAAGAACTAACCTATTACCTTGATAATAGCATTAATCCATTCATGAGGACTCTGAATTCACTCCACCTCTTAAAGGTCTCCTCTCTTGGAACACTTGTACTGGGGATTAAGACTCCACACATAAATGTTGAAGAACACATCCAAACCGTAAGTCTCACTTTCACTCTCATATGCAAAATAATTACAGGCTTGAGTACTGGACTTAAAGCTGCCTAGATCTGAATCTCAGGTCAGACTAATTACAAGACTTGGATAACATATCTTAGACTTAGTTTCATTATTCATCAAATAGAAATAGTATCAATCACATATGGTTCTGAGGATTAGCGGAAATAACACAGGTTACATGCCCTTTCATCAGCATTCAGTCATTTCTACCTACACATATATGTATATGTATATGTATATGTATGTATATGTTCTACACATATATGTATATGTATATGTATATGTATATGTATATGTATATGTATATGTATGCATATATGCTTATATTTATTTGGATAAAATAAATCATTTTTTGTGAATAACAGAATTCTTGCAAAATGAAAAAAGAAGTCTAACATAATGTTGGGTTTTATAAACACTGGATTAAACATTTATTGTTTTAGATTTTATATTCGTCTTTTTTGCAGCCAATATTAAGAACTAATGACAGTACTAGTGCTAAAGATTGTTATATTTATTTCTCAAGAATCTCTATGAGTCCTTGAAAAAATCTTTGATAGCACTGTGCTTTCCACAGCTACCTATTAAAAATTCCTGTCCTGAGGTAGCAAGTAAGGTTAAAACCCCGACTAAAAGAGCACAATAATCATTCATAGCTGGTTTCTGAAACTAAAGAAGTCTTAAAGTCATTATTTTCCCCCAAAAGAGCTCCTCTGAGGTAAACTGCATAAGCTCGATGCTTTTAGCAGTTAAACACAACCATTGTCTACCTATCTACCTCAGAGAACTACTGAGAACATCAACCAGAAAACACATTATTAATCAGGTTGTTTTTTCTTTGCCCTTCCTGTTGTCCACAAATAACTAGGATAGTAAACCACTGAGTCACAGTAAGTTTCTTTGTCCTGTTTTCCCGTGTTCCACTGGCCACAAGTACTGGCAATGTCCTTGTTCATGACTTCCAATCACACAGCCATCAACCTACTTCAGTTCTTTAATCATTCATGTCTTGACTACATCAATCCAATTTCTAAGTTACCAAGGTCTTAAAACTTTTCTAACTATATTATTATTTTGAAGAAACATCCCCAGAGCTTCACCTGTGTCCACAGGGGAAGACCTAGCTCCTGCTTCCTGGCCTATGACGACTCCAGGGTGGTAGCTCCTTCATTATCTCTCATTCCCTCTCTCTTTGAAACTCCCAGTCTAACTGGCACCCCAAGGCAGACCCTGCTTGTCTTTCAGATCAGCCTCACTCACTTTCTTCCCCTTCTTACCCACATCTTTCTATCTGTGGAAATTTTACTCTTCTAGGTGAAGATATGCAAAGAAGAGCAAAGTTAAATGGCTACTATCTCTAAGAAAACAAAAATGTTCAACCTCATCAGTCAATAGGAAATATTATGTATGCTGCCTATAGAATTGTCAAAAAAGAACTAGGAGAAAGAAGAGGAAGTGGAGGAAAGAAGAATGTGAAGAAACTAAAGAAAGAAGGTAGCTAATGTCCAATGGTGGAAAGGCTATGGGGAGAGTACTATCACAATATGATGAAGGAATTAGAATGTCTTCACTCTTTCAAAACAACCTGGGTGTGTGTGAATCAGTCCATTAATTGATTTAGCATCATTTTGGGTGTGGATAATGGGAAAGTCCACCCTGGTATGGTGTAACCTGGATGGCATATAAAGGCAGGCTTGTTGCTTGGTGCTGCTGCTTTAGTATTTACTGCTTTGCTTACTTCTGCCTGCCCTGCCACACCATGAACTGTTTCTCCTCGGAGGCTTCTTTGCCGTGGCATCCTGCTGTGGGTCCAGCAGACTGGACTGAAACCTCTACAAGATATCAGCCAAAAATCTTTTCCTCCTTAACTTTAAGGTGTTGGATATTTTGTCTCAGCAATGAGAAAGGTAACTAAGAAAATGAAGATCACATATATGTTTTCTTCCTCATACAAAACTACAAATGGAGATAGAAAAAAGAAAAGCTAGAAACAGACATAGATCAAAGACAAGGAATATTTCCTAGTATCAATTTCCAGTCTAGTGGATGTAGGAACTCCAGCTCAATCCCACACTTACCCAACTTCCATGCCTCCCGTGACATTCCACTGTACCTGACCTGGCTCTACTCTCGCCCACAGTATCCCCCTCAAGGGCTGCCCATAGGACCCTTCTCTCTGGGTCCATACTTTCCCCAATGCTAATGTGCTACATGACCAGAACACAGAACTCACTTCTGCCTCACTAGCTAATTCAAAGATGAGTTAAATCTATTTTTAATCTACCTAGAATGTTCTAGATATATATTAAGTAAAAATTTCAATTTATGATATATAGGACATGAATGCATTTTTATAGATAAAGATAATGGTAAGGCTATACTTCCAGGGATCATTTATATAGTTGTTACTTATACAGATAATGGTAATGATAGTAGTAATTGCAGTAGTGACAGTAATACTAATAACATTTTTTAGGTTTTTGGCATTGTAACAACTGATTCATGCCATTTATTTAATCCTGATAACAAATCTATATGAACTAGGAGGTATGTATTACCATTATCCCCATTTTATAGGCAGGTAAAATAAAACAAACAACCAAAATCCCAAATAGCCAGATAGTTTGTTAGTTGCTTAAAGTCCCATGGGTAATAGATGGTGGATCTAAGACCTATTCCAATAAATCTAGTGCTGTGTCCATCTTCTTTAGCACCAAGAATATATAATTTCTTAAATGCTAGGCTTTTTATGTATGCACCGTCAGTGGAGGCCACATGTCAACATCCTAGCTTTGAGTACACTAAGTAAGGAAGAGGAGAATAGTATTTTTTAAAAAAACAAGTCTATATCCTTCTAAATTTTCATTACAATGTAAAACAAAACACAGGTTAAAATAAGTTCAATAAAAAAGTTAAACACAGGGCTGGGGATTTAGCTCAGTGGTGCTGCCACCAGCCTTGCAAGTGCAAGGTCCTGAATTCAATCCTTGGTACCAAAAAAAAAAAAAAAAAAAGTTAAACATATTAAACAATAAATCAATCAACTGGTTCTATTATCTCAATGGCTTTAAAACAATGACATCTCTCATTGGCACACCTATGTATTTAAGTTCCTCCCCTGTGAGGTTCCTTGAACTCCGCAGCTGGTTCTGTCCCCACTTTAACCAGCTATGAGTGATAAGTCTTGGCTTTTGAATCAAATACTTCCTTTTGATGCCTGAATTCCTGTTTGTTTTTCTTGCTTGGTGAGCTCAGATGGACTTAACCTGAAGAAATAAATTTTTATTTCTATTCTTAACCTCCCCTATGGCTCATTCTCTCTTCCCTGGGCCTTTTAATTTTTTACACAGTCACCACTGAAGCAAAAGGTACCCCAGGCAAGACCTGCAACTAGGGAGAGCAGAGCTTATTCTCCTAGCACAAAGCAGTTTCATGGACTTAGAGGGGATTTTCCCTGGAAGACATGCACATAGGAGTGGTAGAAACTTCTAGATTCTGTGTCACTCTCATCCTGGGCTATAGCTCAATTTCAGATCTTGAAACTTAGATTTGAAGTGTCTGAGGTCAGAGGATACATTTAACTCTTTGATTCCCCAAGAGAATGAGCAAGTAGTCAATCACAGGATAGATGACTGGAGGAGGGATATGAAGGTAAGGACACGCCTATGATCACTTCTTCAGCAAATAGCCAGCCTGACCTTGAAAACTGATTGAAAGTACAGACATCCAATAATTTATGTCTTCTCCATGAATAATTTTGTATATTTCGTCCTTATACATTCAATATTTTTGAATGTCCATCAACTTCTACTAATTCATGATGGAGCTGGTTCAACCTTTTCTTTTGCATTCTGTCCTAGACATTCCCAACTAATTTCAATTTGAAAATGTTTAATTCATACATCTACAAGAATACATAATGTCCATGGAAGGATATAAAAAGTAAAGTAGAATAAAACAATTTAGAAACTTAAAATCTCATATATTTACCACTCAGCTTAAAAGTAACAACTTCTTTGCCATAAAGAAGGATGCACTTGAGTCATGTGTAGGAAAATGGATGGACCTTGGACCATGTTAAATGAAATAAAAGCTTAAATATTGCATGGATTCTCATATATATGATACACCCAAAATATAAATACAGGGCAAAATAAGGACAGATAATAGGAAGTAGTGCGATAAATCTTTTGCAAATGGGAAGGTGGAAGAGACGGTGGGAGGGGGGAGAAGACGATAAAAAAAAAATTAAGATGTGTTATGTGCAGGTACCAACTCCCCACGAGGAATGTGATCATTATGTACTGCAAACTTGGACTGATGATACAACAATAATCACCATTACCACAGAATTAAGGACCAAAGCTTTCTGCTTTATTAATTCCGGAGCCCCCATATGGGGTTCTCTATGGTTCTCTCAGTCCTATTTGCACCCATCTCCCTTTGCGTGACTTTCACAGCAGAGTTAAGGAACCCTTGCCCAGGAATGAAAAGACCAGGGTAATTTGTATGTTTGCTGTTTATTTTTTATTGAAGTCCAGCTTCCTCCTAGATGTTGGCCCTATTGTCTTAGAGGGTTTCTGTGAAGTGGATAATGGGTGAGCAGTGTTGTCCTAAACTCCCAGGGGCTGCCGTCTATAAAATCTGAGCCAGTTCCTCTCCATTTCCCCTCCTCCCTCTCAGGCCCAGAGCCTGTGACGTCTGGACCAAGGAGCTGGGGCAGGGCTGCCGCTAGGGAGGAGGGGAAAGCAGCAGAAAAGCTCAGCGCGATTAGCAGAGAATTCTCCAGGCCGCTGGGCCCGAGGTCTGGGTGAGGTGGGCGTACGCAGACCGCTACCTTCTCCTCCAGCCCCACCCGGTCTCCAGGGAACAGTGCAAGAGAGCTAGAGAATCTTGCTCCCAGATACCCTGATTGCAAAGATCAAAGAGCAGCAAGACCGAAGAGATGCTGTCACCAGTTACCTCGGAGCCCCTGAACCGACCCGGCCTCCTCATCGTGGTCGTGGTCTTCTCATCCCAGAAAGTCTCTTCTGGAGGTCAGGCAGGCCTGTGTGGAACGCGACCACACAAAGCACAGCCCACACCAACATCGCTGTCATAACGCGGGGCGTAGGAGCCTTCTGGCATGGGGGAGGGGGCGTAAAGCCGGGGAGAAGAGAAAAATAACCGGCAGCAGCACGGACACAAAGCGCCCTCAGGATGCCGGGGTGGACCCCACCCCGGCCCGCGGCGCCCCTCTCCGGTAGCGCCCCAGGGATCCCGTCCCATCACCCGCAAACCCTACGCCCAGCTCCTCGCCGCCGGTCCCTTCCCAGGCCGCAGGTTTTCCGAGGGGGCCACTCACCGGGTTACCCTGCGGTGTCCACCCGGGCGGCCGGGAACTCGGGGACACAAGGGCCGGTGGGGCCTCCCTGCAGAGCTCTGGCCCGGATCGCTAGCCCAGAGCTGCGCCCGATCCGGGAGAGGACCCGAGCCCGAAGAAGGAGGGTTCCCGAGGAGTCTCCTCCTCCCCACTTCCTCCCGGGCTTGAGTGTGAGCCCGAGGGGCGGCGCTTGGCCCAGGACAGCGCTTCTTTGTGTCGCCAGCCCTGGGTTCGGCATTGCGGACGATTAGGCGCCGGCGGTGGCATCCTTAACAATCTATTAGATGGCCGTTTTATTAAAGGCCTAAATGTCTCTGGATCATTCCCATTAGTAAGGGAAAGACTGAACCAATTGCCATAGAAACCGTCTGTGCACTCTTCAGGAGTGCACTTCTAGGAAGAGCTTAACTCTCACATATTGGGGGACATTCCTTGGTACACGGCCCGTGGAAAAGGCTTTCATTTATATAAAGGGGCCCATATTCGTGTTATGTGGGGAGAAGGGAAGAAAACATTTCTACCTGCTTATATTTAATCTGAGGAATAGGGGAGAGACAAGTTTTTATGTCACACTGCACTGATTGCATTGTCTTCATCACGTGTGCCTTTTGTAAGTTGAAAATAATAGATTTCACGCAAGCAATGGGTAGCCCAGATGCATTGTTTAGTGTACAGTTGAAACCCCATTTCTACCCTTTCTAGTAATCAGTTGACAGTCGCTCCTCCATCAAATGCATGCCCTTTCTTTGTAAAGTGATTAGCTGTGGTGACCCTTCTAGCAGGGTAGTGTAATGGCCAGGAACTCAGTCTCTCCCCAGATATCCAAGCTGGGTGACTTTGGGCATTACTTAATTCTCCTCCAAGTGAAGGATGATAAAACTTGTATCTGCATTATGGATTTACTTAAGATTCAAAGTAGGTGAGTTAAGATCTGGTTTTGTTTGTTTGTTTGTTTGAGACAGGGTCTCACTATGTAGTTGAGACTGACCTGGAACTCGCTATATAGCCCAGGCTGGTCTTGAACTCATAGCAATCCTCCTGCCTCAGCCTCCTGAGTGCTGGGATTATAGACGTGTGCCACCATGCCCGGCTAAGACTTGTTTTTAAATCAATGCCTGCCATATAACATGACTGTCTGCATGTGTTAAATAAGACAAATATTTAAGTCATCCTATGATTCAACATCTCAAGTCTAGGAAGATGCATAACTTTCAGTGCTAACTGGATTTTTGGCCTCAGTCCAAGCCATACTTTCTTTTTATCTTCCTTCAACAAACTCTATCCATGTGAACATTAGGAGCCCAGTGAACAGGTGGGCTCGGGGATGGTTTAGGTAGAGGCACTGTGAGGACAGAAACCAAGAGAAACCTGGTTTCAGGGTCCTGCTGAGTGAAGACCCCTTGAGAGATGGTGAGCCTGTCCTTCACCTTCTCTACCTTCTCTGCCCTTCAGCTTTCTCAGCTAAATGACAGAGGCAGGCCGGCTCAGTAAGTCCCTTCTGGATCAGAAATGTCAGGATCTACAGTACTGTCATAATGACTTTCATGAAAATAATGTTAAAGTGGTAATGAAAACGCATATACTGCTTGCATAAAAATAAATACCACAGGGGAAATATATACATGGGAAGAGTACAAGCTAACCTACCTCAGAAGACGGAGGGGCACAGGCATGAGATTTGGTGCAAAAATGGGCTCTCATTTTATTTTTAAAAGGGAGAGACACACACAGAGACACACACAGAGAGAATCAGCTAGCTAAAGCAAAGGTGATAAAATGTCGGCACCTGATAAATTATATTAATTTTTGTACATAACACTGAATCATGAAAAGTGCTTTTAAAAGGTAGAGACTTATTAGACTCAATGGTTAGGTTCCAGGAGAAGGAATTCAGCATGCAATAAATAAGAATGCCAGAAACAAGCAGGGCTCCCGGGACGGCTGGGGGTTGCAGTGCACCCCACAAAGCTGCCCTAATTCAGTAGGTATGCCTGGGCCTGCAGTTTAGGAACGATCTTTGGGCAAGACTCACCGTGTCCAGCAATTCCACACCCGGCAACTCTGGAGGGGAAGGGAGTCCTCCGCTGGGATGTAACAGGGAGCCCGGCCAGGCGGCCTGGAGATTTGGAGATAGGTGGCAAAGAGCGGGGAGCCGGCTGCAGTGCCAACTGGAGAGGAGGGGGAGGCATCCGGCAGTTGATTGGTCGCTGCCAAGGAGGCGGAGCTAGGCCGGCGCCCCGACCACACAGCCCAAGCTTTGTGTCAGTTTCTACCCCAAGATTTGACATCAAAGCCCTGACAGAGACTCTGACGTCCACCTTGTGAGTACAGCCGAGCAGTATGTTTAAACAGAATAAATATGGACTTTTTTTTAATCAAGGGAGCAGTTTGATAAACCTTTATGTAAAATAATACACAATTATTTCCAAGAAAGGGTTAAATCTCTTTATAATTAACCGTGAATAATTAGGGGTTTTCTCTTTTTCAGTATGTATGAAGTAAACATTTATGTTAATAGTAAAATAGCTTGCATCTTTGTATAAATATTAGAAATCTTTTTAAAAACTTATATAAACAAGGAAATTGTATAGAAGCTATCTATCTATATATCTATCTATCTATCTATCTATAGATTAAAGTATGAAAATCCGTTACTTCAGACAAGCAGGTTACTCATAAATATTTATATAAGGCCGGGGATTTAGCTCAGTGGTTCTGCCACCTGTCTCGCAAGTGCAGGGACCTGAGTTTAATCCCCGGCACCAAAAACAAACAAACAAAAGAAATCCACAAAAAACATAAATATTTATATAAGTATCACATAGGTGGATATCTTATAAGTATTTTTCTTTATGCATATCATTAACATTTCAAAAATTTACACTATTTATAATATAAATAAATCTAATTAACTAAAGAAACTGGACAAAAATCCTTGCTCCAACAGCTGGTAGTGCCTTCTCTACGAATATGATTTCTTCCAGTGTGCAGGGTTCTTGAACTTGGTTCCTAGTCCTGATCCATTTTAACGAAGGGCGGGATCTGAGGACCTGGCTTACTGCTGACTAGGTCCTATCTTAGTCTTCTCTGTTGGTTTAGCTTGGTGAGCTTAAGGGTAGAATCTGCAGAGAAGCCATGTGGGTCTTCCTCTGTCTGTCCCCAAACACTTCAAGGAGATTCTCCACATGCCTATACATTCTCCAGATCCTGCCTCTCTCACTGCCCTTGAACCTATTTGCCCAGTACCTGAAGAGAAAATGCCTCCTGATCAAACTGAATTCAGGAGGAGACTATCATAAAACTTTCTCCCCTGCTGTAAAACAGTGCCAAGACCGGTCCTCCTCCTAGTGAAGGTGAATCCAGTGATTAAGGAGACAGAATAAGACATCCTATATTACTCCAGTTTTTATTAGAACTCTCCAAACTGGAGGCAGTGTGGGTAAAGAACTGTGCTTTATTTTTCAGTTTCCCACTTCTCCTAGGTGGTAAGCAGGTGCTCCATAATGTCTTATCCTGAGAGATGAGTACTGGGTGCAAAGGAAGTACCTAGGATCATTTTCTCTTTTGTTTCCTGTTCTTTTCTTATGATTTCCCCCTGAAGCCTTTTCCTTTCCCTATCTTCCAATGAGGTATCTCCTCAATATATGAGCTGGCTCCCACTCTTTCTCATAGACTCTGCTCTACTAGGTCAGTTTTGCCATTTATGCTTTCTTATTTTATTTTCCCTTGGATTCCTTTGCTTTTCATCCAGTTTTCTGCCCTGAGTAACCCTGAATAGAGATTGCCACAAAATCCTAAAAACCTCGAAATAACTTTTACACTATTTAATCCTACAAGTACTCAGTGATATGTGAGTGAATGATTTATTAAAAATTATTACAAATTATTTTGCAGTTCTTTAATAAGATCAGCTGAATTCATACTTTGAGGAATGCTCTGAAGTATGTATTTTCACTGAGAATTTATGTTCCCACTTTTGCAGAGAAAAACTATGATCATGTATGTTTACGTTTATTGAACCCTAAAAAATGACATACTGGCTACTTCTGCAATTGGAGAAATGCTGGTTAGTAATTTTGCTTTTAAAGTACCTTGTATTTAAAAGATGTTAAAAGTATCATTTTGAAATTAAAAGTAAGACAATTTGGTAATACCATTCAAGTCTCTACTCAGTAGAAATTCATACACACGTACACTAAAACACATGTACTAGATCCTTCAGAGTAGCACTATCCATAATAGTTTAAATAGCTACCCAAATAACAACCTTCCTACTTCTTCATCACAAGCCCACCCTGGTCTCCATCATCATGTACCAACAACACATTTACTCAAACTCTGCCTTATAAATAATATTTTACAACAATGCAAATGAATTGGTTTATATTATATTCAATATGGGAGAATTTCACTAACATGATGTTGACTAGAAAAGAAGCCAGAAACCAAATATTACATATTATAGGAGTATATATACATACTTATAAAAAAGAGTGAACTAATCTTTGAGATTAAGAATGATATTTGCCTTGGGCAAGGTAGGGACTGGCCCAAGGAGGGATATTCTGGGTCATTCTTGGTATTTTCTTAATGAATTTAAGTACTGGTCCAAGGATGTACTAAGTATGTGAAAATTCATTGTTGTATTTTCATGACATACTGATGTAAAGGTTTTCATGCAAATATTATTTCAGTAAAGTATTAAAAGTATTAAAATAGTATTTTGGTTTCAGAAATGCAATTGTAGAAAAATTACTGGTGAATAGTACATATTCAAAATATTATAAACACATCAATGGGAAGAGAGAAAAGCAAGAGGTCTGCAATGACAAAAACAAACTAAAACCA